GGTGTGGATTAGATTTTCTGGTGGAGGGGGAATGGTTTTTCATTCACTCTCTATCTCCTCACATTTGTACAATGACAGAGTGCAGCATTTATGGCTAACAAATGCCTTGTAGGCATTTCCAAAAGCATTACATTTCTTGTAATGCTAGAAACTCAAGCAGATCTGAACATTTTCTTCCCATCATGGAATTAGATTTGGTCAGCCTAGAAGTTATTAGGTGCCATTTTCCCATTTCAGTCACAGATCCAGGACCTCACTAGACTCTGCTTAGGTTCTGCCGCCTGAATAAGAATGTCTAGACTAAGCACCCGAGTTTGAGGTTTATGATCTTACCTTACATGACAAGCTGACTATGAAATCATCAGAGAAATGTCCCCACTCACCACATAGTTGGAGTCTGGTTTAACTCTGCATGTCCACACCCAGCTGCTTTGCTCTCCTATGGTACCAAGACGCACACCACCCTTCGTGAAGAGGGAAACTTGCTTATCAGAACCTCCCAATAAGATATACTCTCCTTTAGTAAAATAGCTAAGACAGCAAGGGTCAAAATTGAGCATTCTGTCCTTTCCAATCTGCAAGAGAAAATAATCAAAAGCATTAACAAAAGGATCATTTCTTATTTTCCCAGGCAACAAGTGCTGCCACTGCTACCATTCTTCTCATCTCTCTGGCTATGCACAGAACACCGTCTGTATCAAGATTCCCAAAGGCAGTTCTAAAATACATCCAAGCATCTCCCCAGTCCCAAACCAGTCTACTCAGAATGCAAGCACCTCACAAACCCGCCTTTAACCAGATGAAAAAAATAGAAAGATGTGCTCTCCAGATGAGTAAAAAGTATCACAAAAGTCAGCACAGTTGCAAGGGCTTTGACACAAGAATTTTAAGACAGCAGCTGAGCTGCCACGGGAGAAACAAGAGCTGAAGGAAAAGATGGTTAGAAAAAGCAGACGCATAAAAGGTTGTGAAAACAGGAAACATCTGATGGAGCTAATAAAGCACTTTGAATGTAGGACACAAAATAGAATCAGAAAAACCCTGCCCCTCTTGAATGCGCTTGCTGAAACATACCTGTTTGCCACTGAGCTGGTAAAAGGAAAGTTTCTGACCCCAGTCTGCCACAGCTAAAATATCATTGCGTTCATCTCTAACAAACAAAAATAGAAAAATGATTTCCTAACAAATTTCTTGGAGCAACAGAACAAAGTAATAGAATAACAATTTACTTCATATTACTCTTTAAAACAATCCACAAACTGAAAGGCCAGCGGATATATCTTGCCATTTAAAACTGATGGAGACAGCCTGGGGACACAAAAGAACAGTCAGCCTCCTTTGCAGAACAACTGCAAGGCTTGAGGCATCACTTCACACACAGGGCACAAGCCCCGTCACAGTGAAGCTAATGAATGGTCCCTCACACAGGTGAAGCACCCAGGCCTGGATTTGGATCTCAGATACTGTAGTACAAAGCCACCCTAACACCAGTCAGCGCAGCTGAGCAAGAGTCAACTACAGCTGCCAGTGTAAGGCAGGGGAACAAACAATTGTTCATGTGGGACCAGCTGCAGAGCAAGGAAAGGCTTCAGGTCTCAAACTGGTGAACTCTGGGACTCTGACATGATCTGTTCATCTTGGAGCAAACCATGAGTCACTTTCTCCACAGCTTCTTGCTTAGGAAGAAGGGAGGTTGTAATCTGAATGTTCTGCTGCAAGTAATGCCCTTAGCCATAAACCTAATGAAAAGCTAACTTTAGTAAGCACCTCCCTCTGCTCAGGGCATGATGCACAGGTAGTTCCTACGTATGTGGCATGGTGCTATCTCATAATGAACACATACTAGCAGGATAAATTAAAACCAGGCAACTATTAATCTAAAATGTCCTAACTTTTGCATATCTGATTTTATACCCTGCCCTTGGTCCTTTCTGTAAGTTACTGTTCTAGATAATATAGATACATATGTTCCTTTGAAGTTTCACTCACAAGATGATATCCACAAAGGTCTCTTCTCTCTCTCTGTCTGACTACACTGCTGACTGCCAGGCCTGGATTTCAGTACTGGTATCTCCTCTGAACAGCTGGGAACTGACTCCCCTTGTTCACCTGCTCTATGCCAAAAATTCTCCCACCTACTGCAATAGCAATTCTTTATTCATGTATTTGGAACAATATTCCCTCTGAACTGAAGTGAAAAACCAGCTCCCCTCTCCATGCCCCTACAGCCAAACAGAACGCCACCACTCAAAAAAAATGCAACCAACCTAAACCAATACAGGAGACAGGCTTCATGAGGCTTGGGGGAACCTTCTCGCTCTCTGCAACTCCCTGAAAGGAGGATGGAGCCAGGAGGTGGCTGGTCTCTTCTCCCAAGTGACAAGTGATACGGACAAGAGGAAATGGCCCCAAGATGTGCCAAGAGAGGTTTAGGTTGGGTATTAGGAACAACTTCTTGACCAATAGGGTTGGCAGGCATTGGAACAGGCTGCCCAGGGCAGTGGTGGAGTCACTGTCCATGGAGGCATTTAAAAGATGCATAGATGTGGCACCTGGGGACTTGGTTTAGTGGTGGAACCGGCAGTGCCGAGTTAACTGTTGGTCTTTCCCAACCTAAATGATTCTACGATTTAAACAGAACTTGTTCCCACTTTCTCCATTCAATTGAAGACTGGCAGCAAAGCCAAAACCCCAGTACATAATCACTTAAGAAAAACGTAACGTACATGGCATTGATCTGTTTCAGCAGGGATAAAAGTCAAGCCTTTCTGCAATCAATAAGCCAGGGATTACCTATTCAGCATGAAAAAGGAAGGATGAAATGATTTACCTGGATGGATTCCAACAAATTGACCATATTGGAGATGAAGCACCCCCTGCACGCTCTATTTTAACTTTCTCTTCACCATTCTTATTCCGTATGCTAACAACACCATTGAACATTCCCAAAGCGAGGTACTGGCCATCATTTGTCCAGCTGGTAAAACACACATTTACTGAAGAGCAAACTACTAAAAACAAGCAGCAGGAAGGTAGGATGTACAACATACTCAAATAGGGAGGATTGAAATACACTTCTAAGAGGGAGTTCTGGGAGGTAGCCAGTAATCCCACAGTTTGTTTATGCATCTAAATCCACATTTATGGCAACAGCATGCACTACAGCAAGAACGTTGTATAATATACACAGAATTAAAATATATGTAGAAATAAAAAAAGAAAAAATTAAATCTATCATCTGCCTTCAATACTTCTAACATGTGCTAAGTAACAGACACATTTTGGGGAATGACAGTGCTGGCAGCAGACCAGACTGCTTTAAAAAGCCACGTTTAGAACACTGATCAGATAAAACCGCACGGTGCAGGACAGAGGAGACCTGAGCTCTGTTCTTGTCTCCACTGCAGTCAGGTGGATGACTTTAGACAAATCAATGTACCCTTGCTTCAGGTTCCCCATAATCATAATATCTCCTTCTGCTGAAAATACAACAACACAGGAGATGAATGGCTCTACAAGCCAAAAGTATAATTATTTTTCCTCTAACTTCACATTATTGCTATTGCACAAGGTGACTAAACAGAGGGACAGAAAAGTTAAGACACCTGCTCTAGACCAGAACACCTCTCTGATACTTTCAGAAGAATTCAGTTATACAGAGCACCAAATAAAAAACAAAATAAAAACCAAAACCCTTTGCTGGGGGGGTGGGGAGGGTGTGTCTCTGTGAAAACTACACCAGGAAGAACAAATCATCTCTGATAAACATTAATAATATTCCTACTGGAGTATTATAAACACTGCCCAGGTATTTCACTGCTGGGAATGGCAAAGCAGCAATACATGATGCTACTGAGCAGCCAGGCAGCAGAGCCTGGCACACTGCTGGGCGCTGGCTCTGCATACACTGAATTGGCACACTTGAACTTTTTTTTTCCTTTAAACTTGCATATTAATTTGAATGGTTTGCATCGAAACTAACTAAAATGACCCAGGTAATCCTTAAAACTTACCTACAGCAAGTAATCTTACTGCTGGTCTTATGTTTAGAGACTGACTTCTGCTCAGGAGACCACAAGCCTTGATTAAAGCAAACAAAAAGCCAAAGTAAATGACAAATGAGCATTCACCAGTATTCAGACTGGAAACTAACATTGTCAGAAAACTCAGCTGGGACTTCCCAGCGACCAAAGTCTCATCCACTGCTAGAAGGACATTTAAATACATAGTATTTATCGGAGGGGGGGAAAAATCCATTTAAATAATACAGTGAGTGTCTCTGCAAAAAATTACAGTATCAAAGTAGTACATTTTACCCCATGGCTCTTCACTACACACTCCTTTCCAATGGAGTTTAAGTGATTTAAATAAGTATCTAATATTACTTTAGATAGTTTTGTATCTCATCTCTTCTGGATATAGAACTGTACGCATCTGTAGGTAGCTTTGCTATACAACTTTAATAGAATTTACTGGCTTAATGGAAAAGTTGGAGGAAGAAGACATACCAAAATCACTGGAAGAGCAGGATGCCAACTGATGAGTAAGAGGATTGTATGAAACGCACTGAATAGAGTCATTATGCCTAGAATGAAGTTACAATCATATTTCAATAAATCATTCTTAAATGCCCCCTTTGCTGACTTTCAGCAAGATAGCAGAAAGGTTCACCAGATGCCAGAAATAATTTGATCAGTTTATATTACATCAAATTAATCTGCTATTACTGTAAACTAAATCAGTAATAAACCTTATAAAAATTGTCTCTAAGTGGCAGGATTCACCATATTTCATCAAGATCAGCTAAAAATGTATCGAGATAGTGGTTAGTGAAACGTGATTAAAGGTTATATCCAAATTCTAAACCAAATGCACTTGTGTATGCTCCCAGTAGTCCACTGGCTTGTGCATGCAACTAGTGATGCACACACACGTTCAGAAAAAGAATTTGAAGATGTCGTTTAAGAGGGATGAGGTAAGAACAAAGCCAGAAGATGGAATATACCAAAAGCACCAAACCTGATGATTAATTTGCCCTTTGAACCAGCTTTGTATTACATTTGTTTGTTATACAAGAACAGAGTCACATTCTGATTCATTTTACTCTGATGTGTATAGAGTTTCCCCAGTTCTCTCCCAGCCCTCAAAATCCAGAGACTTATCCAGACTTCTCACCCTCTTTTAAGCCTTTAATTGCTTTCCTGCCTTGTTCAGATACTTTGAATGCTCTTTTCCTCCTCCCATTACCCCCTGGCATTTTCTCTGACCTTAGCCAACCTTCCTCCAGATCTAACAGCACACACTCTTTGACAGCAGAAGAGCATAATCAAAGTCTGCTTTTGAGAGACACAGAATTGGAAGGCGTCACTTACGTGTATTTCAGAATTCCTTCTAACTTTGAAGTCCAAATTATCACACTTTTATCAGCAGAGCCAGATGCGAAGCGTTTGCCTAGGAATTAGATATCATTTAAATCCCACGCATACAAGAATCACTTTCACTCCAAACATTCAATCAAAGACAGAGCAAGAAGTTCTTGAACTTGACAAGGCTCGTGTAATAAAGGGCCTAACACTGCAAGTGTCTTGATGTGACTGCACTTCTCCAGCTACATGGAACTCAGGAGACTTTACTTAGTTATTCCCACAGAGCAGGCAGTGCTAAAGCCCAGCCAGGCAAGGAAGTAGCCAAATTTGTCACAGGGTGCACATTTATGTTAACAGGGTCAAGGGAAAACCAGGTACCCCTGAAAGCTTAAACAGCAGGATCTGAGAGGAAGCCCCCTGAGTCCACAGACAGTAAGTCCTCACAGAGTGAGAGCTGGAAGCAGAATAAGGCCTGTAGTGAGTGTGGTAGCATGTGGGGGATCAGAAGGGTGGGAAGCCTTGGGATAGAGAAACTATGGGAATAAAAATAAAAACCAGAGGCAGGTGGGGTGCTAGAGAGAGGATCTCTGGGGCAAGGCTTCTCCTCACGTTACCCACAAATATTAACTTCACCACTACTGAAGTAGGAGAGGGAAGAAAGTGGGGACTGCAGTTTTTGAATTAATGGGAAGCCTCACATGTAACAGTAGGGTACTTCTGCAGGTCAAACTCTCCATTACAAGACAAACAAACCACGAACACTCACATGTGTGCTCAAGAATAGTTACTGAAACAACCCTGGCTTCTCCGTCTATCAACTGGCACTGCAGACACGTACTCTACAAACCAGACTAGCAAAGCCCCCCAGGTGGTATTTACCATCTTTGGCATATGCCACACAGTACACAGTGTCCTTATGTCCTTTCAAAGGCTGGATTAAGGTTCCATCAGAAGTATCATATACCTATTTAAACAAGAGGGGAAAAAAACAAAGCCAAACATTCAAACAAAGAGACATATGTTAAAAAAAAAAAAAAAAAATTCCAGTGAGGGCTAAGATAAAATTACTGAAGGCCAACAGGATTATACACCTTCTTCTGTGTCTGCTTTTTTACATAGCACACAGTCCATGCAAGACAAAATGGCTTAAAGTGTAGAAAAAGCTTTCCTTAATGTAATACTTCTTAGAATGAGAGAAAACTCAGTGTTAGAAAACTACATGCACAGAAGATTCCAAACACCTCATTTGCCCAGCGTGTTTTACCTCTTCCTTCTTTCTCTGCATTAGATGTTTAAACTTTACAAATTAGTGGAAAGGACCCTCACTAAACATCCCGCTCTGTGAGCACTGTGAGGCCCGCAGGCCTGTACTCCTGCACTACATCCCCAGGGCTATGCCACCCCCCCTGCAGCTTCCACCCCTGCCCCACCCGAGAGCTTTGCAGGGCCCATGAGTAGCACAGCCCCGAGCTGCTCTCCCGATGGGTTACCCATGGGCACACAGAACCAGGGAAGCACGAAAAGCTCCAGCTGAAGCTTCTCACAAAGCCAGGGCATCAATTTGAGTTTCTTTTCAGAGAGCTTTGCATGAACCTTGTAACAAGGCAGTGTTTGCAGGCCACGTCACTCTGCTACGTGTGGGTTAATGGATTTCAAACCACTGGGTGAGGTGCGAGTGGATGAGATGAGGCAAGTAACTTAAGTCTCATTACTTTTGGAAAGAGCTTAAAACTTGGTAAGAAACATTAAAAAGCTTCAAAACACTTTACAGTTAGCCTGCATTAATATGTATGTAGATAGGAGGCTGGACTAGTAGAGATAAGAGGATTTTTGATAGGTTATATTCATAAGTTAATATGAAAGAAATCATATGCCCACAGCTGTAAATGTAAGAGGTAAAAAAAAAGTTTCCCTACCAGCAGTCTATTGCCAGCAGCAATTATCAACTGAGTCCCGTCCGGTTTGAATGCAAGGTCATAAATACTAAAGGAAAAAGAAGAAACAAATCCCCCCCAAGAAACCCCCCTATTAGTAGACAGAAAATAGGTTTTCTTTAACGTCAAAGATGACGTTAAAAACAGAACAAACATCGTTAACTGCGTACTCCAGAGAACAGCGGACCCTGAGACAATTCCTCAGACATAAACACCCCCGGGAT